TAGCGCTTGTTGTTTGTCATTTCTCCGATCACAAATGCAGACATGGTTTTATGTTTACGCGGCGCGATGCAACGCAACACGTAAAAAGACAGTATAAGTCATTATAATCCATAATTATGTCCCCACTGGATGCAACAAATGCCTCGTTTATAATGGGTTTTAATGTTTTTATCTCGTCGCTCCGGCCGGGATACGGCATCACAGTATGTTAAGGGGCGTAACATTTCTGTCACACGCTTGAGGTATTCGGCCAATCACAACGCACTGGATAGCTGGCCAATCACAGCACACCTCGCTTTTCAGACTGATGAGCTTAGTAAAATTCGACGCATTTCAGAAAGGCGGGGCATAGAAGAGAAACAATAATGTACAGTATGTGGAAAATAATGTGTTTTTTGAACCTTAAACCGCATAAACACATTGCATTACACCAAATAATGTTCTTTTTAGCAACATCATATGACCCTTTTAACTAGACAAATTGCCATGACTTTCAAGGTTCTCTATGAACCCTGCTGTTACTAAGAACTTCAAAGAACAAAATTAGCTGCTCTTTTTCCAAGAAAAAAAAAAAAAGAACTTACAGTTAATGAAATATTCATATTATTTTAAATTTATACTATTATAAATTATATAGTAAGCATTTGGTGGACAGCAGGGATACTTTTTGAAGTGTGCTGGTTAAGAGAGTGTTGCTTTTTTCAGAGGCTTTGATGAAACATGAATGGATTTGCTTCATCGCTTTCATAAAAAAAAATATGTTAAATCTACTGATATTTTCTGTTGAGATGAAACAAGAACCTGGTCTTCCTTATTGGTATGGCGCAGCAGGTGGCACAGGAAGTTGAGTCTGGAGCACTTCCTGACGAGGATGAGGTCAGTAGTTCCATCTGCTAAGTGCGCTGACGGCGACAGACCTTTAGGACTGCGAGGACACGCACAACTCATGCTGGCAGCATTGATGGCCAAGAACTTTCCCCTGATGACCGTCCATGTATCCCCACACTCTGAAATACAATAACATCGTGTGACTACTAATATACCTTTACACAGTGAAGTCTATAGACCCTTTTCAAATTAATTTATTACTTTTCCTACATAATTTTTAACAAAAACATTGGTAAAATATCTATTTAGGAGTCAGACCTTTCCAACGATATATAGTTTGTCATTATTAGATTAGGATTTAATTGTAATATAGTGAAGTAAACTTAGGCGTCCCACAGAGGTCCCAGTTAAAGGGTTCAAACAGCAAATCAACATATTAGAATGATTTCTGAAGGATCTTGTGTCACTGAAGACTGGAGTGAAGGCTGCTTTGCCATCACATGATTAAAATACCTTTAAAAATATATTAGAACAGAAAACAGCTAATTTTGGATTGTAATAATATTTCATAATATTACAGTTTTTACTATATTTTTTAATTAAATAATTTCTGCCTGGGTGAGCATGAGACTTCTTAAAAAATTTGTCAATAAGTTAGAAAATAAATGTACTGACTGCAAACTGTAGTGTATAAATATCATCTAGTCCTGGTTTACAATATAATTGAAACACATCAGATGATGGCTTAAATGACTAATTTTACAGGTTCGGTCATGTTGTATTAATGTTTGCTCACAGATTCATATTACTGTGATCAAATTATGATTATACAAATGACACAGAACAACATTTACCCAGATCGGCACTGCATTTTGTCTCTGGGAGTTCCCGAGTCCCCTTCAGCAGGTAAAAAGGACACAGTTCCCTCATAGTAGCGATGTGATAGAAAAGTTTTAACACCTGTAAAAAAATAAAACAATAAAATGATTTCTATTCAAAACTGCAGAAAGACAAAAATCACTTATTTCAGTCTTGATATATTTTCCTGTATACCTGAGATATCATAACGGGCTGGGCCCATCCAGCGCTTCCCCTCACTGTCTGTCAGCACATCTCCGTAGAACCCGTAACCCAATAGTGACACAGAGTAACGCAGGAAATGGTCTTCATTGTGCACTGAGCAGACGTCCATTGGCTGAGAATCACCTGCAGAAAAAGCCAAAACACAGGCTGATAACATCAGGATTGTGTGCTAGGATGCCACATCTAAGAACAGAGCACACTGCAGCAAAATTAGATCAGTTTCTGTGAAAGTAGCACACCAAACCTTTTCCATTTTGGTGTAATGCTTTATTTATGCAATACGTCACTCAAAGCTGTAAGTTACAGAGATTTTAAAAATATTGTATTGTATATTGTAACTATTGTTACATAATAAATGCCTTTACTTTCCTGAACCTGCAGGAATGATGCCGATGCGAAGTGCACATGGCATAAGGGTCTCCTCCATAGAGTTCTCGTCCACACCTGCTTCTCGCTGTGTACGGGAGACAAGGCCATGCATCATCTCACTGAACATGCCATCTCCTCCAACACACACCACACTGCAGACAGAGACAGCAATAAGCACTTCAATGCATATTTGTTTCAAACAAAATTTTCTGTAGTGAATGGCAGAGCAAAAATAGTCATATTAAAGAAATTTGGTCATATTACAAAAATTGTTAAATGCTCTGCACAAATAAAATTGACAAAGGTAATTGCTACCATTTTTGTAACTAAAATTAAGTACAAATATTCATGTTATTCTCAGGTAAGATGATGATAGAGCCTTCTCTGTGTGCCCCCCTTGACTTCATTGTGTGCTTGCTTTCATCACTTTTGTTTTTGTTCTTTTCATTGTTTTTTTGTCGTGCACTGGTTTGTTAAACTGAACAGCCAAAGGGTGATCTTTTCACCGACTGCTCAACACCAGTTCAACAAAATGCGGCCAACAGAGACAGTACAGAACACACTGCAAAAGCTGATGGCTCAACAATGGCATGACTTTGACCAACTGCCGACCATCGGCTTGGTGCATCACGACCTTAAGCGGTAGCAATAGCAGAAAGATGGAAGCCTTGTTGCTTGTGAGAATAATAGATGTGGTACCTGTACCGATAAAGTTCCACAATTTTATGAGCTTTTATGTGTGAAAGTGGCTTGTGTCTAAACTGCTGTTCACAGAAATGCATGTTAAAAGGTACAGGAAAAAGATCCAGACCCAGCAGTCAGAGTTGTTTTGTGAATCTCGCCTCTAGCCCAGCTTTGAAGCAGCATCTATGTTGCTGTCACCAAAGGCCACTTTATTTTCATTCGTCATTTCCCAAGCTGCTCGCCGTCATCTGCCACAGTGCCAGGCTGATGTGCATTGATGTGCAAATGTTAATCTGAGCTTTGCTGCAGAGGACGCATTCCTCACTGGGCAAATTAAGAGTCGCCGCTCAGTGACCGTGATCTCCCAGCAGGACACCCACTCACCCGTCATACTTCTTCAGATCAGCCTCCGTCTTCAAGTGGTCCCTGGCATGATTTGCACGTTCGGTAACTATAGAAACAAAAGAGAAAAAGTCATTGTTAATGGCGACGATGACAGTGAGGCTGAGCAGAGGGGGGAGAAACATCATTATGTTCATCTGGCAGTTAAATTGCATTTTTCTGCTGGCTTGATAGAGACCATCAATCAGCCACATCAAATGATGAAGCTGAAGTTGGGGTAAAAAACAATCCCCAGTATATTTCACTACCGGTTCTTTACCATCAGCAGTGATGTAAAGCCGTAACTCAGAGGGATGTGCTGAAAATTATTGGGGCCTAGGACCGAGCCCTGTGGATCACGTTGATGATATATGCCAAAGGTGATGAATGGAGCTTATTAAACCGTCGGCAGAACATCTTGTTTGGCTCCTCTAATGATTTGGTTTGAATGGTATTTGTCCAGCCAGACATGTACTTTACCATTTACAAAATGTTCACATGGTCGTAAAAAGAAGACCTTCAAGCAACTGCTGAATAAGACTGTAAGCCTCAGCTCTAACAGCCAACGTTCACGCCAACCCAGGGTCTTCCTCCCTCAAACTTAATAAATAATGGATGTCTTTGCATTCCTATGTTTATCGACTATCACAGTTTGCATTATGGCCAGCTCCGGTGATAGATGGCGCTGTAAATAAAATCATATTCGTGGGATGGGTTGGCAGGTGGGGCCATTTGCCAACGGAGATCTATTTGCGAAGCATAAAAGCTCATTTTTTATTTAAATGTTAATGCAGGCGGCTGACGGGCACTCACCAATCACGTCGGTGGAAATGGAAGCCCGGGAAAAGATGGGGGCCACTTTGTGGTCGTAAATCTGCTTCCCACGTTGTTTTCCTCCGTAGGGGTTGATGTACACTAGCAAATTCTTCGGTCGATTGGCTGCGGAATGAGAAGCGGGCAGAGCATTAAAGTGAGTTTTCGTTTGACAACAGTCATCCTAGGCTGTCAAAACTACTTCATTAAGTTGCTTTTGAAAAACTTCATCTGATGTGACAACATAGAGAAGACCAAAACTGTACTTATGCCTACACTAGAATCCAAACACCCCAAAACTTTCCATAGGATTGGTAAGAAATATTATGGGTTATTTCAAATGTTCAATTATTTTCTCAGTGTTCTAAACTTGCGCAACTGAGTGGAATTTGCCAGTCCACACTTAGAGCAAATCAGAACATATTTGATATGTAATATACAGCTGGATTAAAATTTTTAACCAATAAGATTCTACTTTGGGCGGAGCTACTGAGCACAGATCAGAAACAAAATGGCTAACAGAAATACCAGCTATATTGGCAGATTAAAACACAGATTAAAAGGGACGAGAGATTTTATCACGCTATGTCAACAAGGAATTAGTGTCCATTATTTATTTATACCATAATTATGTACAGTACCAAATGTGTGGTAGTAATTGACTATAAATGAATGAAAAACATGTTTACAGTAAATTCACATGTAATGGACACCGAGCAACTATTTTGCAACTATTACTTTTTTCAAAAGTATAAACATGTTACTGAGGTACACACAACTGGTGTGAAAATCACTGACCGACCTATAACAATAACTTATCTTTTTTTGCTATAGTGTGAAGTGACGTGTGGCCAAGTATGGTGACCCATACTCGGAATCTGTGCTCTGCATTTAACCCATACAAGTGCACACACATAGTAGTGAACACGCATACCGTGAACACACACAGTGTGGAGCAGTGGGCAGCCATATTGCTGTGCGCCCGGGGAGCAGTTGGGGTTTCAGTGCCTTGCTCAAGGGTCTCATCTCAGTCATGGTATTGAGGGTGGAAGAGAGTGCTGGCTATTCCTGCCGGACCTGAGACTCGAACCTTCGGACTCTCTAACCATTAGGCCACAACTGAACCCCCCCCCCCCCTTTTTTTTTTTATTTTTTTTTTTATTAAACTCTGTTAGAATGTACTTTTATGGAAATTTTGAGTAAACTTCGGCTTCTCTACTACTTAGCCCACAACTTACCCCCCCCCCCCCTTATTTTTGCTATAGTTTATGTGTAGTTTATTAATTTTACAACAGTAAACTTTTCCGATACAGAAAATAATAATAATAATAATAATAATAATAAAACGGTTCAGGACGCACTCAACAATGCAAGTTGTTCCCTAATAGTTTGGACCCAGAGCAGACACATGGAATGTTCAGAGCAGTGGAAAGTCACATTGCTGCACCGCCAGCAGTGCTGCCTCATCCTCTCTACGTAGAACACTGCAGAGAAACACAAATGAAAATGCCACATTATTCCAAAAACTAGGTAAAAGGTGACACGCATGATCAGTATTGTTCTGATAATACACTCACAGCATATAAGATAAAATAACAAGCTATGTATTCCCGTTATCAGGGGCCAGATAAGCAGATGACAGTCTGATTATGATGGTGTACCTGTGAAAGCGTGCTGGCTGGAGTCCGCTGGGCTCTGAGGAACCTTCTGCCATTTCCCAGTGTCTTTACAAGGAGAGTAATCTTCTTTTTCCTGAACGGCTATAATTTCACACACTGGGACACAATGACTACCTGTGTATAGAAGAGCAGTGGGTCACATAACATGAGAAACATAACACCTCACATAACTCAAATGGAACCTAATAGGTCACGGAGGAGACACAATGCAGTGATTTTTAATTAAATTTAAATATGTCATATTTCATTTTTTGGTAATGAAAACAGGGCTGTGAGTTTCAAAACCAATCTCACACATTTTATTAAAACTCAGTCAAAAACAATCACTTGATTTTAAGCATTTAGAGTTATCCAACACAAATGATTTAAAATTAAAAATGTAATATTTCAAGCTCAACTGAGGCAGGATTTTTAGACAATGCACTGAATAAATAAATTAATTGGTACACCCCTTAAACCTCTGATACTACAGTCACTGATGCCTTTTACTTTTTAGAAGTTTATAGTCAACATTTCTCTCAAATCATCTGCCGTGTTGGATTTTTATAAAAAAACAAAAAATTCCAATAATGCCCGAATTTGTAAATTATTATTGAAAATGCTTTTGACTTGAGTTTGCAAAATGTGAGTTTTGGGATTTCCAGGTGAAGTCGACTGCTTCATTTTGTTTGCTTTGCAGTAAGACACTATGTAAACGTCAGTTTCCATCATCTCCGTCTCTGTGGCTGTGCTAGGCAAAATAGCTCTAAGCAAGAGTTTTTTTTTTTGCATTCTGACAGCTTGTGCCCAAATGAGTCAATCTCGTGTTATGTTACATTATGCAGGCTTTCCAGAAAACCCCTGAAGAGAAAGTTAATGAGGTTTGACCTTACTCAAAAGATCAGAGAGTTATGTGGATTAGAATAAAGTACAGCTTCAGAAACTTTACTTAATACCCAGATAAACCTAGAGTAATGATTTATCTTCATTAAAACTTCATGACACATTTATGAGACATAACAAGTGTATTTCATTTTTATACAGCCTAATGAAACCATTCATATGCCCAGATGTAGCCATAAACTTAACAGCATAATAACATGGAAACATCAACCTGATAAAAGTTCCATGATACTTGTATTAGGGAGTTATTGTATAATGCATGAATACTGCATGAGGTAAAAAGCTGAAATGTAAAGGTGAAGCAGTAGATTTATAGAGTTCATAAGGGACTTTAGATGCATGTTGCATTTATTCTTAGTTTAGCATCCACTAAGAATATCTGACCAAATAATAACAACAACAACAACAACAACAACAATGGCACAGTACATGGAGTGTATTTGGAGTGTATCGGGTAGAAAACAGGATTTGAAATTCTTCACCAAGCAGTATTCTGTTGGTCAACACGGCAAATCTGTTTACTGTTGTTCTGGGAATTTTCATATGCAAAATTCAATCCAGATCCAGATTTCGCAACTTGAACCTGTTGCGAAATCTGCGTGCGTAAATCTTTTGCCCTGATATGAAATTCCTGAACACTTGGATTCCTTTTGAAATGACTGGATTTTGCCTATGAAAATTCACAGAACAACAGTTAACATGACTGCACAATTGTATTTATTTATTTATTTATATTAGTATCAGCAAAATACCGAACATAAAATACATATGACATATTATGTGTGCTCTTTTATTGTGATTTTTTTGCAACGCTATTACCAAAATTTTGTCAAGAAATAAATATTAAATAATTACACAAAGTAAAAAAAATAAATATTAATGTAAAAATATATATATTAATGAAATCTTTGATTAGAAGATTTTAAATAAAATAGTTTAAAAGTTAGTTTAGGGTTGAAGATTTAGCCTAAATCAAGTTAAATTAACAGCGTCTAACTTTATTTTTTGCAGCAAATGTTGTTTTGGGGTTATAGAACTTATGTTTCTCATAAATTTAAGAATACAAGAAAGAAAATAGTTATTTGATCATTAACAATATATTTGTAAAAAGGGCTGAATTACAGTGTTGAATGCTTGATGAATGCCGTCAACAGTATAATTTGGTTTAAAAATGAGAAAACAGAATGAGAGTATTTACTTTGTCAATTTTCCCCATAAACAAAACACATTCTTTTGATCCGATCATTTACAATCTATTCGCCTCGTTTCATTTATTTCAACTAAAATTCTCCCACAATCACCCTGTATGTGATTATTTAAAAAAAAACAATGCGCACACACACATTCGATTACATAAAATGTTCTGATTGCGCTCATTTATGTGTTAAGTATAGTAACGGTATGAAAATTTCTTATCACGATTATAGTGACCAAAATGATCACGGTTATCAGTATTATCACGGTATTCGTAAAATGTGCTGGAAATGTTCAAAAGTACTGACGCACAAATAATTTCACCAAGTTTTACATTTAAAATCAACAAACAACAAATAAAATGAGTTTTTGTTTGCATAACTAAAACAATAACATTGCCAATGATGTCCGGATTTTAAATGACAACATGACTGACAACAGTTTATCTAATAACATGTTCAAATATCTAATGTAAATGTCAAATATCTAATGTAATAAAACTGTGTTTTATGCTTCAGGGCTCCAGACTTATTTTTCCCACTGGTCACTCTTTTGCGACTTTCTCAGTTGGTCACACCGGCACATGATTTGGTCGCAATATTTTTATTTTTAGGGATTAATCAATGCATGCTGATGAGCTTTTATCATAGTTTATAGTTATATGAAATCGAAAGTGGTTAACATTCAACCCCTTGTTTTTCATTAGTATTATTTGTGATTTGAATTTTGTGAACAGGGAGTTTCTCTTTAGCTGTGTTATAAGCCGGGCTTCGGATGCTTTCACTTTCGAATTCGCAATCTTAGTGTCACGTTTTACAAGAAAAGATAATTGTCTGATTTGCTTACATACATCTATACATATTTCACTTTTTAAGACTAAAACAAAAGATGGATTCATTGTTATTCGTAATTAAAAAGCATAACAACAATAAAACAGTAAGATACAATGACTAGCTTACAAAACGTTTATTAACAAAAACGAATAAGACGAGGTATGGCATACACCACATGCTGTATTATATACCGACTAATAAATTAGCTACAGAACTTTTAGCAAACACTGAGGAATCAAATAAATAAAAAAGAGAGCCTCCATAGCATAACGTGAGGTAAACAGCAAAGATAACAAGCTTTTCAAAATGAAAACAAAAAGAAAAGTAAAACTAAACTTGCTGTCGGTGACAGTGCTTGCATGTTTTTTCCCCCCACAAGAATACCAACATGTTCATCTTTGGTTTAAGAAGCGGTCTTTTACTTTACTTTAACATGAAAACCATCCATCGTTTACTCAATATTCGCGTAATTTTTGCTTCGCGCTCCTGCTGACGCAGCGAGTATAAACCAGGCTCTACACACTCTATAAGCGCGGTTTCGTTATGCTTTCAGTTTCGTTTGCCTTTTGATGTTTCTCATATGCAACAGAAATGCAGCGCTTATGAGTTAAACAATACGGTGGTCGCGCCAGTGCGACCGCACACAAAATTTAGTTGCACGGGCAGAAAAAATTATCGCAAAATGCGGCCATTTGGTCGCACTCTGGAGCCCTGTGCAGTACAGTATTTATTTATCCTCAGTTGTTCAAATCGCGGTAATCGAATACGGTTATAGTGATAATTAAAATATGAAACGGTAATACTAACCGTGGGGTTTTTTATCACGATTTATCGTCAAACCGGTAATCATTACATCCCTAATAGTAACTACATTAAACACTGAACAATAGTTGACATTCCAGGGGTCCTTGACCATAATATCGCAGCTCTCTTTTCAAATACAAATACACCAAAATGTATTTGCCAAATACACCATATGACTCCTTCCCAAAGATGGCTCAATGATGCAACAATCTGAGGCTGTATACTCTCAAATACTTTTCAAAAAAAGTTGAATTAAACTGAGTGATGACTTAAATAGCAAATAATTACACATCTCATTCCTCTTCAAACTTATAATGTTACATAAAGCAGGAAGGCAATTGAGTTTCAGATCTGATGAGAATGTGCCACATTAAAAGGGAGGATTGTTATAGTTATGAGACTAACGTCATTACACAAAACTAGCATGCATGTAGAACTACAGGATTTCACAAACCGAGTTTAGACAAATATGGCTTGGTGTGTTGTCTTCAACATGTCCAAAACCTAATGTGCTACCTACCCAGGTATCAAAAAACCGGGGGCAAAATTATATTTTGGCCTACACTCTATAGTAGCACAGCATGTATTCTTTGTTTATATATTTATTTTTTGCAATTATTTACATTACCTATTATTATTTTTTTATTATTACCTAAATCTTTTGTTATAGGGTCTACTGACATAAATAGTAATAATTAAAACATTTTTAAATTCATTGACATTTTTTTTTTTTTTTAATATTTATTAGACAAACCAAAATATAAAATTTATGTTGCAAGAACACATGCAAGTATAGCTACGGTTTAAAACAACAATCCCAGTCCATATGTTGCATTTTCACACCTTTTTTCACATCTGATCTGCATATTGCAAATTACACAGTTAAACCATGTTTACACTGGAGTCGTATATACGAAATTGCTTCCATTAAAATCAACAAATGCAGAGGATTATAGTTTTCTGTTTGATGTCCGATATTAAAAATCACACAGAAAACCATGCTGTATTTATTTGGTTGTTTTATTCCATGTCAGTATGTAAAGCTATTTTAATCGCAAAGGTTAAATAAATACGTAAGTAATTACGTTTGGGATAAACAATTTGGATAGAGAAAGATAATTTAATTAAAATCACAGTATAAATAGTACAAATTCATACTGACGGACTATAGGGCCTTTCGCACCAGGGGAACCTTTTCATAGTACCAGAATTAATTGTGGAACTACCCACTTTTTGGCGTTTTCGCACCGCCGGAACTGGGTGCAATTTTGGTACCGGACTGCCTTTTTCGAGAACCAAATTAGCTCCTACTAATCTAGCAGGGTCTAACCAGCACAACTGGTACTAATCGTGACGTAAGTAGACATTGCTTGGCCAAACGCGTACGAAAACGCCCTCACC